GTCAAAAATTTCGCTACATCTTTCAACCCAGCGATTGCAAGGCTCTGTGGAGGAGGGAATGGGACTCTGGAACCCCAAAGTACTGGTTTTGCTCTGCAAATCCAGATCAGTCAGTCAGCTAGGAGTTCAGAATTCTCTTGCCGCCTTCAGCTGAGAGACTCACAGCAGACAGAGTAAGACCATCAGATGCCCTAGTCCTTCTAACCTTTAGTCTCACCACAGCCTGAATCTTAGTTCCCACAGGAGATTTCCTGGGCAGTTAGAGATCTACTAGGGCCGTTCTAAAAAGGCTTTAGGAGAAAAACCAACAGGCTGCGTGCAGAATTAAGGGGAAGGGAGGGAAAGACAACCTAGGAGAAGGCAGATTCCGTGACACGGAGGCCCGAGAACCAAGGGCATGAGACTAGGGGTTTGGAAGAGGTACTGTCTGGGACGGACTTGGACGTACAACAGAACCAGCGCCCAGAGAGAGCAGAGAACAGCCCCTCGCCGATCCAGGTAAGACCGGCCAACCCTCCCAGACCGCAAAGAGCCAAGATCCGACAGCAGTCTTCCTGGACCAATCACAACGTGCCCTTAAGCAAGGGGCGGGGCCAGAGGGAGAGGACTCTTCCTTTGTTCCCGCCCCTGTAGGCAAAGTAGCCAATCTCAACGCGCTTGGATCAAGTAAACGCAATCAGAAAAACCAATTACGCCGCGAACCTTCTCGTGCGCGCTAGACCCTGCCCCTCCAGCTGCGACAAAGCTGGCGCGCGAACGCCTGGGTATTGTAGTTTTCTCGGGATTCGGCCGGCCCCAAGGGCCAGGTATCCCGCCCGCAGTCGCTTCCACACCCCTAGTACGCATGCCCAGCGTTTCCCTGCCCCCGGGAGAGGAGGCGCCGAAGGAAAGAGGCGGGACAATATCAAAAAGAAAACAGCAGCCGCAGCTCGGAGAGCGACAGCGGAGGGGTCCGCTCCTCCCAGAAGGCGGTGCTGCCTGCCAGGGAGAACCACGCGGAGGGTTGTGGGGCGGGTAGCTCCCCACCTGGTGGAGAACCATGGAACGGGGTGGGCGGGAGACTCCATATCCCGGCATGCCCCGCGGCGGGCCCTACTGGCCGCGACTCCGGGCTTGGCCCCGGCCCTAGCTCGTCGGCGGTGTACTGGGGCGCGTGGAGGCTGCAGTCACGGTGGCGCCCGCGGGGACGGAGGAGGGAATGAGTGAAGAGGAGCAGGGCTCCGGCACTACCACGGGCTGCGGGCTGCCCAGGTGAGCAGCCTCGTGTACAGCGAAAAGCGTGAGGCAATGCGGAGTGGGTAGCAGCGCGGCCCCAGCATGCACCTGGCCTGAGGGTGGCTCCCGGCAAGCACTGGGGTAGGGGGCAGTGGTTCCCAGCATGCACCGGGGGCAGTGGCCACTGCCTTCAGCTCTAAATAGTTTGGGTTTGGCCCGGTTCCTAGACTGTACTGGAGCACTGGGCTTTATGCCCCAACATTCAGTGCATTTGGTGGGTACTGGATTCCTGGCCTGCACTGTGTCAGGGGGCATGCATTTCCAACCTGCACTGAGGTACAGGATTCCCTTCCTTCATTGAGAGAGGGACAGTGTGATTCCTGCATGCCTCGGGGCAGTAGACCCTGCTTTCCCTGCCTGCATCTTCACTTTGAACCCAGCCAATGGCTGCTGTAGTGCCTGGGGCTTAGAGGTGTTCCCATAGTGTCCCTAGGTCTGGTATGGCAGTGCTCGGCCAGGTGGGTGGGGAGAGGGGAGGTGTGATGTGGGTCTGTGCCCCCTCCCCTCAGTATAGAGCAAATGCTGGCCGCCAACCCAGGCAAGACCCCGATCAGCCTTCTGCAGGAGTATGGGACCAGAATAGGGAAGACGCCCGTGTACGATCTTCTCAAAGCCGAGGGCCAAGCCCACCAGCCTAATTTCACCTTCCGGGTCACCGTTGGCGACACCAGCTGCACTGGTGAGGAAGGCTTGGGCAGCCTGGCTGGGGTGTGTACTCACAGGGTCCCATGGCTTCATTTCTTGGAGTCTCTCTCTTTACAGTCTTCTCCAAGGCCAGTGAGGAAAGGAGAGATTTCAGGGGCAAACCACTGACTGGATGGGGATAACGGGGCTGTGAGAAGGTGGGTAGGACTGGGGGCAGTTAGAGAAGAGAGCAGGACTGCCACAGTGTCACCGCTGATCTGCATTACCCTAGAGGAAAAAAAGAAGTGATACATCTCAGGGAGTATTTGGGGGAGTGAGCGTCCCCTGTGCCAGGCTCTGTTCTAGGTGCTTAACCAGATTCCCACATAATCTTAAACCTCAGTCGAATCCAGTGATGTAGGTGGTAGTATGCTGATGTCGAAGGTGAGGAAACCGAGTTCCAGAGAGAGGAAATGGCTGGGGCAAGGTCCCATGCCCAGCAAGTGGAAGAGCAAGGCCTTGACTCCAGAGCCTGGCCTCTGTTTTTCAGCTCTCTCACCTTACTGAGGGAAAAGAAGGGCTTTGCAGGGAAGGTGACAGCAGAGCAGGTCCTCAGAAGGCTCAGAAGTGCTGCCCTGGCATGGCTTGATTCTGGGAGCAAATGGAAAGATAATGGCCCTCCTTCCAGCAGTTTGTGAAACACGGGGTCTTGAGCAGCGGGAGGTCGGTCAGAGGGGGCTCGGTTGGCTCCCTCTGGCTGTGAGGAGAGAGGCTGTGGGATACTGGTTTCTCTTCTGTCCATCCAGTGACCTCCAGTATTGCCCACGCCCCCTCTCTCAGGTCAGGGCCCCAGCAAGAAGGCAGCCAAGCACAAGGCAGCTGAGGTGGCCCTCAAACACCTCAAAGGGGGGAGCATGCTGGAGCCGGCCCTGGAGGACAGCAGGTGAGGGAGGACCAACCAAGGCACCCTAGAAGCCCTGCCAGGAATCCAGACCCCTGCACCGCCCCCTCATCCCCTAGGCCCAGCCTGGTGACAGCTGCTCTGACTAAGCCTCTTCCTGAGTCTTCTGGACCCAAACAGGAAGCTTCCAGGGTTTCTGCTACCATGAAGAATTCTGGGGGCCCCATGAAGGGCTGTCGTTTGGGGCCCGGGTTAGGGAGGGAAAGGGTGGGGTTGAGGCTAAAGGCGTTGCTCCCCAACATGCCCCCTCTCTAGCAAGATGCCCTTCCTTCTTCCACACCCACGATGGAGTCTGTTGCCCAAGGTTTTTGGATAGGAAGAGACTTCCTTGGTCTTTTTGATCCAAATTTGGCAGCAAAGGATTCCAAGAGGAAGAAATGGAATGTTGGTTGAGCCTGAGCCTTTTGCTCAGTTGGAAAGTTCTCTTAGGGCTCAGGCAGTCAGGTGACCTGGGTCCCCTCCTGTCTGTTCCCCCTACACATGGGTGTGAATCAAAGGCCCCCTTCCCCTCGGGAAGTTCTTTTTCTCTCCTAGACTCTTCATTGCCTGAGGACATTCCAGTTTTTGCAGCTGCGGCAGCTGCCACCCCTGTCCCACCTGCTGTCCTAACCAGGTATCTTGTGTCCCCTGAAGGGCTGAGAGGCTGGGGAGGAAGGGATCTTGGCTCCTCAGCCCTAGGTTCCAGGCTGGGCAGGAATGAGGAAGTCTGAGAGTATACAGATGGAGTAGTTGGGGACCAGAGTTTCATGAATTTGCACCAGCTGGTAAGCTCTTGGGACAGGAGGTAATTTATTATTTCTAAATATCCACATGGATGATGTTGAGCCATGTTTAAAGGCCTGACAGGCGCCATTTTCTTCTGGGTTGGCCACGTGACAGTCCCATGTTTGAGACCCAGCAGTTACTTCCGGGGATTGGATATATAGCACCTCCCACTGTCCTGGCGAGGTGATACCCAAGGTGGGGAAGCAGGCTCAGACAGGGGAGCGCATGAAGCTCAATGTTTGGACAGATAGCCACCTGCCTGGTGGGGAAAGGGACGGTGGTGGGGAAACCAAAGCCATGTTAGGTCTTGGGCCTGTGGGCAGTGCAGAGGAAGTCATTTCCTCGGGCCCTTTTTCCTTCAGGAGTCCCCACATGGAGATGCAGCCCCCTGTCTCCCCTCAGCAGTCTGAGTGCAACCCCGTTGGTGCCCTGCAGGTGTGCTCCCATCGTAGGTCCCCTGCATGCCCATCCCTGGAACCGGGGGCCGTGAGGGATGGTGGTGTGCATTTGTGGTGGGGAGCAGTTCTTCTGTGCAGAGGCCTTTTCTACCCCCTCTGTCCTTCCTTTCCCCCAGAGTCGGAGGGAGAGTGGATGGGCACCAGCCTGGACATGAGGCATCTTGTCTCACTCGGCTTCATGTGTCCTTTGTCTTCCTTTCAAGGAGCTGGTGGTACAGAAAGGCTGGCGGTTGCCAGAGTACACAGTGACCCAGGAGTCGGGGCCAGCCCATCGCAAAGAGTTCACCATGACCTGCCGAGTGGAGCGTTTCATTGAGATTGGTAACTGGGCAGAAGGGCTTCCTGCAGCTCCCGTCCCTTCAGTACTCTGGCCCAGCACAAGGCAGCGTCTCACCTCTGCCACACCCTGGCCCTCCTTGCTCCTTTGGCTTGGTTCCTTCCTCCTGGCTTCTCTTTTGTTCCATATCTTTTCTGTTTTCTTCTGGCTGAGCAGGTCCTCAGGTGCATGGGCAGGTCCTGAGCTCCCCTTTCCAATCAACGGCCTCTGGAAGGACCCTCAATCCCAACGTGTTGAGGTGGAAAGCACTAGGCCTGCTAGGAAGCTTCCTCCAGCAACTCTCTTTACACACAGGCAGTGGCACTTCCAAAAAACTGGCAAAGCGGAACGCGGCGGCCAAGATGCTGCTGCGAGTGCACACGGTGCCTCTGGATGCCCGGGATGGCCACGAGGCGGAGCCTGATGATGACCACTTCTCCATTGTGAGTGGATGGGCCTGGCACCGTGGGCTGTCCTCTCTCCAGGGCAGGGCACTGAGGACTTGGGTTTGAGCCTCAGCAGTGAGCCCCTCTGGATCCAGGCCTGCTTCTGCACTAGCTTTCCTCCAGATCCAGGCCCCTCTCAGCCTTGACTGGACCCACTCAGTGAGTGCTGTGGGGAGCTGGCCCAGCAAAGAGCCCTGTAGGCTTCTGCTGCTGGGATAGGAAGACTGCCCGCCCTCTGGACTAGGGCCTGGGGGTTGAGGAGCCACTTGGGGATTGGTGGGGCAGGCAAGCTGGAGGAAACGTTCCTGGGCTTTTTTCTCCTTGGACACTGGACGTTCACTGCAAGTCTCAGTGCCCGGGTCCCACAGCTCTGGCTGCACATTCTCACTGTTCCTGTCTTGTCAGGGTGTGGGCTCTCGCCTGGATGGACTTCGGAACCGGGGCCCGGGCTGCACCTGGGATTCTCTGCGAAATTCAGTGGGAGAGAAGATCCTGTCCCTCCGCAGTTGCTCCCTGGGCTCCTTAGGTGCCCTGGGCCCTGCCTGCTGCAGTGTTCTCAGTGAGCTGTCTGAGGAGCAGGCCTTCCATGTCAGCTACCTGGATATTGGTATGGCTAGTGGGGGAGCCGGGGGATGATGGGGACTGGACCAGAGCAAGTATAAGGGGGTTGGGAAGGGGTGACAGTGATGTGAAGGCACCCCTTCCCCGTGCTGCCTCCCCGTCCAACTCTGCCTCCCTCCTTCTCTTGGTCTCCAGAGGAGCTGAGCCTGAGTGGGCTCTGCCAGTGCTTGGTGGAACTGTCCACGCAGCCGGCCACTGTGTGTCACGGCTCTGCGACCACAAGGGAGGCAGCCCGTGGTGAGGCCGCTCGCCGTGCCCTGCAGTACCTCAAGATCATGGCAGGCAGCAAGTAAAGCCCCAGCTGGACTTGTGGATGTCGTTGTCTGCTCACTTCCTGCCTCTGGGCCCATTGATCTGCCCAGTTGTGGTACCTTCTGGAGGTGCCGTCTCTACCTCTGACACAGACTGCCTGCCTGGAGGCTGAGGAAAGCACAGGGCAAGGAGCCAGGGGCCACAGGGCCTCAGCTGGCCTAATACTCGTCCTCATTTTATTGGTGGTGATGAGTGGGGATGAAATCGGGAGCTCTACTCTAGGGCCCAGAATAAATGAGCTGCTCCTTGGATTCTTGAACCCTGTTTTCTGTTTCCCTGTGTAGTGCGGATGGCAGAGGAGATCTGCACCCTGTCCTTCCTCTGGGTGCCTGCCTTTGGCTGCCCCCCACCCACCTCACCCCTGTCACCCCGCCCCGCCCCCCCACTGCACGTTCTCCTGCTTTCCTTTCTGGTGGCTGGAGGCTGGGGGGAGGGCCCTCTGGGGAACCCGGCA